TCGCCATTTTATTTCCGGGCGGAATTTACTCACCTATCTCTTTCTAACACGATTACGGCGAGCATGTCTATTATTGTGTTCATCAAACTTTTCATGTGCAAAAGAACCCTTGAAAGAGGTTTGCTAACCATAGGGTTCATGTCGCTAATGCTTTGGCATCTTGTCTTAGCGTTATTATCATTTGCAAAATAACTTCTATCTCTCGGTGAAAATAAGATTTCCTTATATGTAGCGTTCGTCTCGCCCAGAGGATTGAGGAAGAAGATGAAGAAGACAGAATTTGATTCGAATCGGATGGAGAGGTCTCCTTAATTTGTGTTTATGTATTAACGGTGCGTTTAGGACTAATTCTAGTTGGACTGGGTCTGATCATTGATTTTTGCAGGCTTTTAAATAACATTCAAAATTGGGCTTGTACATGATCCATGGCACCTAGTTTGTTGATAATTGATACTGAGTTCCGGATTGTCATTAGGTTGGGCCTTTGATAATTGTCTATCTCAGTGGCGGTTCTTTGTTTTACTTAATTTTATATTTTATTTTCATCTGCTTCTGCTTCTAAAATCTTGATCATGCCTTGAGTTCACACAATTTAAACATAATTATGTGTTCCATCTTTTTTTGGGATTTGGTAAATGGTAGCGTGTCTCTTTACACATTTAGCGGTACGAGGTAAACTACAATCCGCCCAATTTTACTCTTCATTAATTGGCCCTATTCCACTCTCTCACTAATTGCCCCCTCTTTATGCAATGCACTCGTACATAACAAACCTCTTGTAGACTAATTAGAGGCTTGTGGTTGGATACTGAGTGAAGATATTTTTTTAATTTATGTTTTGAAACGAAAGTTAGAATTTCACTTTTGAAGTACCTATGTACTTTAGTTGAGAAAGTATTTTTAAAATGTAAAATTTTATAAGCGTATAGGTATATGATTGTTGTATAAGGTGTTGATGTTAAATGAAAATGGGTATTGACTGCTTAGGGTATTAGGTTGTTGATGGTATAGAGTGTATGGTATATGGTATATGGGTAGGTTATAAGGTGTTGATGGTTTAGAGCATATGGTATTGATTGGTTAGGGTGAGGGTAGGTGTTGTTTTATTTTTTCTCAATTTTATATTTTCTTTATATCTGCTTATAAATGTTGATCATGCCTTATTACTAAAAAAACTTAGCCATAATTATTGTAGCGTGACACATTTATCGGTACGAGATAAAATGATTTGGTGTGTGCAAGGTAGGTTCCTATTAACTATTTTGACTTGTTGGTTGTCCTTGTTGTTTTATTAACTATTTTGACTTGTTGGTTTTCCTTCATTTATTCTTTGATTTGAACCTGCATGTTTTTGCTCCGAAGGATTTTGTAGTGGCGTAGTAAAGACAATCCGTCCAATTTAACTCTTCATTAATTCCCCCTTTTCCACTCTCTCACTCCCCGACGAAGCAGAAACAATCCACTATGATATATTTACCGTTCATTTTAACACTTCACTTAATAAGAAAGCGAAATTTCACATGATGATTATAAATGTCAGGTAGCTTAATTGGTTAATTGTCCTTTAGTTGCTGAGTTAATAAAGTAGAGGTTTGTGGTTCGATACTTAGAGACTATCAATTTTTAATTTATGTATTGAACGAAAAGTTAGAATTTATATTTTGAAGTACCTATGTACTTTAGTTGAGCAAGAAAAGTTAATAAACAATAAAATAGAAAAAAGAAAATAGTTATCTATGTGGTATTGCTAGAAGAATTCCTAATTTAGCAATCTTGCTAGTTTAGAAAGAACTCCTCCACCCCTAAATCATTGCTAAGTTTTTGCCATCTAAGCTCCACCTCATCTTTAGCAATTGCTAAAAGTTGGGGATGGAGATGGTCTTAGACCATCTCCATCCTTGCAATCAATAAGAAATTTCTAAAGTGGGCCCTTATCGCCATCAGCAATCAAGCAAAAAACCGATTCAATAATTTCCAAACCCCTACATCCCTAAAATCAATAAGCAATTGCCAATAGTGGGCCCATACAAAGAAAGAAAAAGTAATTGAAAAATAAAAAATATCCTAGGTGGCATTGCAAGATGAATTTCTTATTTAGCAATCTTGCTAAATAAGAAAACACCCCCACATCCTTGCAATTGCTTAAAAGTGGTTCCACCTAGGATTCTACTAAATAAGCAATGGGAAGGAGATGGTCTAAGGTGTTTATGGTTTAGAGCATAAGCATATAAGGTATTGAAGGTTAGGGTATAAGGTAGGTAGCAAGGTGTTGATGGTTTAGAGTATATATGGTATTGATTTGTTAGGGTATAAGGTGTTATTGTTGTAGAGTTATGCTATTGATTGGTTCGGGTATTAGGGTTTGGTTTAGGGTTTACGGTTACAATAACATATACCAAATCAGTAGATTAATTTTGCTAAACGAAAAAGTTAGTTAATCTACAAAGCCAGTCTAAAAGCACATCCCCATCTCCCGCCGTCAATTCCTAAACTTTTCCTTTAATCCGATGGTAAAAGAGATTCAATCCTTGCCGCGACGTGTCACCCAATCAGATTTTGCCATTTTCGGAAAGTCGCATTTGCCCATAACCAGTGCTGGCGTTACCAAGGCCGAGGCAGCGGTAGGGAGTGTGATTTTCAGTAAATAGGAAAGGCTGGAAAGGCAAAGTAATTTTACGAGTCCATTTATAAATTCTTTAATCAGAGAAGGAGAGACTATGCTCCAAAACGCGAGAGGCACTCATCTCCTGCTGTTGTTCGTTCCTCCTCCTCTCAATCCCTGAAAAGACCCCTTTCTCCCATTTTCTCGATATGAAACTCTGAAAATCAACCTCATCCGCCTCTTCGTGCTCCTGTCCCATGCTTTATTTTCGGGTGTAGTGGTAATGATGAGACTGCGTATTATTTTAGATCTCAGTTCCTTTCATTATGTCACTGTTAGATCATGACTATTAAACTAACTCCTTCGTTTTATTGTTTCTTCTTTTCTCTCCATATAGGGTCTTTGTTAGAGGCAGGGAGGGGAGCAATGACAATAAGTCGCCGTCTGAATATTGCCGAAAAAATCATCATGTGTTGTTACGATTCCATAATAGGTGTTGTGGAACCCTACGTCATATGGTGGTTTTTTTGTGCAACATTGACGCGTACATGTTGATCATGCTCCGAAAATATATACAAGAGGGGAAAGTTGCCATATGTATAGTATAAAAGTGGGAGGGAAAGTACATTGTTTTGTTTTTCAAGATTTGTACTTTTAGTGTTTGAGATCTTAATTAATAGATCGGTGAGGGATCTTTCACTCAACAAAAATACTGTAATTTATTTATTGATTACTGACTCCATTTTCAGAAGTCTTTTACTATTGGTCCAACAGTATTTTTTACGGATTTCGAACTCTGCTCCTCTGTCGCCGCATTCTTTTGGTCATTTCACACCTAAAATAATAAAGTGAAATGGAAAAAGGAAAATTTTCATTTCATAATTTTAGTAGCCAATATTAAATAAATTTATAACAAAGTAAAAAATACGATATAATAATTCAATAAAAAAAACGAGTGACAAAAATTATTCAACTGAAATGTTGCACATGATTTATTTAGGGAGCAGCCTCCATATCGAATTCAATCAAATCCATCCGAACTAAATAAAACGACACCATAGAAGGTAGCAGTCTTCTTATAAACCAGCAGTCTTCTTATAAACTAAAGAGACACATAAATAAAACGACACCGCAGAAGGCAACAGTCTTCTTATAAACCAAACGACGCCGTTTCAGGCTGACAGTGGCATTCTTCACATCATCTTAATCCGAATAGGATAAGGACTTCCATCTTCACTTCAAGTTTTCAACACTGATCAAATAGTTGCAGCCCTTTTACACACGCAATGTAACACCCTAACCCGACCGGGTACTACTTTTACTAAAATACCCTTGACCAATAAAATACTCAAATCTTAAATTGCAGCGGGAAGAATCTCATAATAAAATACTGAAAACACACTCTTGTAGTTCAAAGCAAAGCCCTAACAAGTGGGCAAACTCAATACTAAAAATCTCAAAATAATCTCAAGTCTGTACTCATAATCATAAATGTAAATAACTAATAATCTCTAAAGCCGTTGCTACTGGAAACCTCGACTAAGCATCCTCTGTGACGCTTGCACTGACCTCCTCTAGCTGGCTGCCCTCAAACTAGCTGCTCACTAACTGCTCCTCTAGCTCCTCAAACTGGTGAGTGAGATGGGGTCAGTCTACGCCCTTACGTTTAACATCTTATTAAAACCTGAGCACTTTACTTAACTGTGTGGAAGTTGTTTTGTAATTCCACTATTAAAAGCTTAACTCTTAAAACTGTATGGGAGTTACTGTTGCTCAATTCTTAAATCTCATAGCTTGACTTGACTGACACTGGGATCCCTCACTAGCTAGTCCGGTTGCCAACTCATACGTATGGGAAGCCATTCAGGCTTTCCTTAAACTTAAACTAGTCATGGGCTCGACCAGTTGGTCGGATTCAGTTGTTAATTATGTAAATAAAGGTAGAAATCTGTATTCTGGCTTCACATTAGTATAAGAAAATAAAAATTCTTCAAATACTTTAAAGATTCAAATCGATTTTGAGAATAAGAGAATCCAAATTATTAAAATAGTTCAACAATTCAAAGGAATGAAAATTGTAATGCTTTCCGATACTATTGACTAATCGACTAAAATCGTTTTACGAAAATGAAAGAAAACCTCATGCAAGGGAATTGACTCCTAAATACCAATGATAATGACCCTTCTAGTTACTCGTCATCGTCAGAGATTACTGTATGTTTTTTTTTACTTGTTTGCATTTCCTCCGACATTATCAACAACCTCATCGTCACCATTGATGTAATGTCTTCATATCCATTAGCGACACATTCTTCTTCTCCTAGATTTCAATTATCTCTTCCTTGTTTGCCTACATTTCATTGAGCTCGAAAATTTGATGTTAAAATATATTTGCAAAGACAAAACATCTTTTTCATTGAAGTATAATTTACTTCGTCCAAGTTATCAACATTCCCTAGATTTGTTCTTTTCCCCCATCACCAGTCTTTACAGCTTCCTCATGAACAATGTCTTTCTTCTTCTCAACATCATCATCATCTCTAGTACCGGATCCATTACATCCACCATTAGCAGTGTCATTTTTGTTCTCCTGCATCATCATTATGAATTTATATTATACATTCAAAAGTACAACATATGGGTGGTTTTACCGAATCATGATTGGTCAATACATATTGTAGATAAAATTGTAGCCGGATGTAATGAATTGCAAGTTAGTTGGAAAGGAAGCAAAGTTCCACACCCAATATAAAGATTAAAAATATCAGTTCCTCCATATTTCGAAGCCGGCAGTACTGAAAGAAAGAAATGGGTGTTCTTCGTCTTTGCAGCAAGCTCATTATGATTGTTAAATAACTAAATGCCTATTTTATTAATTAAACCCTCTGCCCTCTTTGTCCAAGCCAATTCTGTTTATTAAACCCACAACTCCATTCATCTAGTCGTTGCATGATGTGAATTAGATTAAAGAATATAACTCAGTATGAACTGTGCATGCTATTAAAATCCAAATCCAATAGAGAACATCACAAATTTACAATAAAGATTGATCATCATTTCATTCAAATATAATTTACCTCAATCAAGTTAGGAATATCGTTGGTGAATTGCTCTTCTTCATCCTTCCATATTTTGATAATTGTGTACTCACTTGTTAGATTAGCGATGTTGTAATTTGTGAGTTTGATGCCAAACTGCAACGCCATTCTCTTAATTTGTAGGAGATGAGCTGGTGATGTTCCTCTATTTCTATCGTTATCTTGGAATAGCTTTTTAGCCAAAATTCCAAAAAAATATCTCTCTCACTTTATCCATAACAACGAAGATCAACTTTCACATGTTTTGTCTGCAACTCGAAGGGTGATCCTGAATTCGTATAATGATGGCAATAAAATAATTTTTTTGTTGAAGTACACGAAAGGTTTCTGCTTGTATTAGTACTACCATGCATTACTAATTATTAAGGAAAATGTTCTTTTGATGTATTAGTAATATAACTTTGAATTGTACAAAAAATCATATCAATTATATTTTGAAAGATTAAATATTCAATCACTTGGCATGTATATTAATTACCGAACTATAGCTAATCAAATTTCATGTTAATAATGGTTACATTACCTTGATGTTGTCGTTTTTTAATGCCTTTGAGCAATTCCCACAGAAGTACTCGGCTGAGTCTTCTTCGAGTTTTTGTGGCCAGGTTTCACATCAGCATAGCACCATCCATTCTTAATCTTGACAAATTTTTATTTTACGGAATACATATTTCTCTACATATTACAAAAAGTTTAAGTATTTGACAGTTAATGAGTTGTTAATTCGATAGTGATGCTTACCTCCATCTTTCATTTTTTATTGATTGAACTCATGTAGTGTTTTGGTTGGGACTGACAGTTGAGTTTAGCATGTGCTTTCATTGGAGGAATTGGTGCATCACCATCACTTTATTTACCCAAAAAGAACGTTAATTAATCTCCTTTTGTTCTTTGAGGTTCAAACTTATAAGGCATAAACAAATACAAAGATTAAATTGTTGTGAATTTTACCTTGGCACAAATTTAATAAATTCTGAAATTTTTGGAATCGCCAGTAGCAAGGTTGCTCCATTTGAGCATAAGGTGTTTTTGCTTGCAAATTTGACGATCTTTGATTTATTATCATTAATTTATTTGTTAATGCTTGTATTAATAATAAATTAGATGTGTCTTTACCATTTTACGTATCGACATATATATTGGGTCACATTCTTCTCTTTGTATCCATCAGCATCCTCAACACAGAAAGTGGAATATATGGGTGCCAACCATCGTTGCCGTGTGGGAATAATGGGCACCAATATCAGGAGAAAATGTTTGCTCCCCAGTATCATCATTAATTAAAGCAACGACCTCATTTGCAGATGGCAAATCATATTCTCTATCATCTCCTTATCTTAATTTTAGCAAGCAACTTAATTTCAACTTGTTGAACAGTGGTGTCATTCAGTTTATCGCATGAAGATCATAATGTCTTTACTAAGATATTATTTGAATCTAATATCTCCTGCAATTGTTTAAATAATTGAATCGCATAAAGGATTTAAAGCTCGATCCATGGAGAAAAAATCTAACCTATTTTGGAGTTCATTATCAATGTCATAGATGTAGAGTTGAGCAAATTTTGGTATGTTTCTTTCATTAGGTATCAAGCTACCGATGCGATGTTATACTTGACTTCCAATTGAATAAACATATTCCTTGTCCATCATATATAGATTGGTCCAGTTGACCTCCAATATAAGTTACTGTGAAAACCCCATTATAGCCACGGATATGTTCCAAAAAGTGACATTTCGTTGAGAGGCTGCCTTCGAGTAGGGAGGTTCACTTTGCCTGTCTGCAACACAATGAAAACTTCTGTTCATTGGAATTCCTTGTGGATTTGTTATTTTCTCCCTTCCACCTCATCGTTCCACAATATTCACATTTATATAATGGGGTTCCAATATCAAACACTTCAACAACTGCAATAAAATTAAAACTCAAATATCAAAAATAAATTTGATAATAATTCCAACATTATAGTAAATGAAGAAAAATGAAATAATTAAAATATTCATAAACCTGGAAATTCTCCAGATCGCATCACCCGAAGACGATTATAACAATTTTCAGCAAGTTTGATGGACCTCAGCATTCTATTTCTCATAGTTTGTAAGTTATTCATCTCATTTTGAAGTCTTGTATATGAATCATTAAAATAAGCGATCCTAGCATCTAACACATAATTTGATAACATATAAGTTGACAACAAACATGAAAATAATGGATTGCCGGTAAGAATGTTGACAATTTTTTCGTATATACGCTTTTGTCTTATATTAAGAGCAGGTTTACTTTTTTCTAATTTAGTCAATGATTGATCAATTCTCTTTAACTCTGGCTTATGTGAATCAATTTCCGAAAAAGAAAAATGGATAATGGTAGTGTAAGATCAAGCCGTGTGCAATAGTTAACAGATTACAATCAATTTATTAGCTATATTAATACCATAAGAAAATTTATTATGCAGTTCATATAGAGACTGATTAGAATTCACCACACCTTCTGGTGCTACAAAAATATATCTCTTTTTTCCTGAATAATGCATGACATGGACACACATTAAATTGTAAGAACTACACAAAAGTAGCCGACAAAACATATTTAGAATAAATAATATCAACAAAATAGTTGACAATGACAAACTTCTAACATCAACATGCAAACCTAATTGTTTCTCTTCGCAAAATATATATTTTTAGTTAAACAAATTCTATAAAAATTTGTTGTTGTGCCTCCAGAATTCACTTCTCTATTCTCAAATCTATTAATTTCTAAATGGAACCCTATGAGCACTACGTCGTTGTTATATTCAAATTTCTCTATTCTCAAATCTATTAATTTCTACATGAAATTCAAATTTCTCTATTCTCAAATCTATTAATTTCTACATGAAACCTTATGATAAATCACCTGATCTGAACTCGACCTGTCATACAATGGATATTTGTATCAAGATACCCGTTGTCCCTTCTTTTTATGGCCATGTGATTTAAATTTGTGTTTTGACCTTAAGGCCCCTCCGTTCTCTGTGCATAAGCAAGAAAAATTGGAATTGATGGGGTTCTCAAGTGGAACCTCCTTAGAGGTATGCTTTACATAGATTTACAATACAAAAGTATTTGATTTGTCTAAGTTAATTTATTAAAAATTAATTAATTAGCAATGTCACACATGATAATTCATCTCAATCACTTAACCTTATCATAAATAAAAATAAAATAAACAACCTAAATCTCTATACCCGCCACTATATTTCCTAACTAAAACAATAATATAATAATTAGTTTAAAGAAAATTCCCTACGGAAACTCTTTTCCAATAGTATAATTAATTGACCTAAAAAATAGCTTAATTAAAATCTCCGTTTTCTAATAGACCCAGAATGACAAAAAAAATCCTTCCTAAATTTACTCAGAAGGCTCGAAATTTATAATTAAACATGTTCTCATGGAGAACCTCTTTATATTAGTGTTAGGACTTAGTTAGGGAAGTCGTAACGATTCATCCGCCTAACATCTTAAACTTATCGTGGTGGCTCTTCACCACGATTCTCAAGGGCATAACTGCTGCCATCTTAAAAGTCTCAAGAGCATAATTGCTGCTCTGTCCCAAAGATCTCAAGAGCATAATTGCTGCTCTATCTGAAAATCTCAAATGGCAACTGACTGGCGCTAGTAACTAACACACTTAAAACGACTTCACCTTTTTGAAGGTGAGTTACTCCTTAAAAAGGCCTTGTTTCGTAAACTTTAACAATAACTTATACTCATAAACTTTTCAAGGTAAATAATAATCGTTCACTTCAAGTCACAATTCAACCAAAGCACATACCATCAAACATAATCATGCAATCTCAAACATGAATCAAATACTGCACATACATCACGTAAATCGATACTTAAAAATACTCAAGGTAGATACTTGAAAAATCGTAAGGCGTAGAATTTACTCCCTTTACACTCACCTTAATACCTAACGTAGATTGACTCGAATTAACCATCTCCCTCCCTTGAACTCATTCATGCCTCCTGCCAAAATGCTTAGCTGATAGTATTAACTCCACGAACGGTCATATCATTATCCAACCCATGAAGTTCTATAATTAACGTGGGTAGGGAATGACTTGTTTACCTCCCATCCAAGACCCCACCGCCACTGTTACTAAAATCCATTCTCATGCACTAACCTTCATGTAATAGCACAAGGTTGAACCAATCTCTATGTATAAATCCCATCTGCTAACCAATGAGTTAACTCGTATTCCATGATAAGCACCCCACGAATGAGAAACAATCTCTAGAATTAAATGGGACCAAGGTAATTTCACTTACCTTTCTACACAGATTTCTTCACGAAATCGAGGGAGGGCATCGGCTCCACGTGGTCAGGGACCTCCTTCACCTTCAGCCCCTTAACGTCGTTATAGAACCTCCTCATCGCCATTTTTTTTCCTCTTCCGATCGCAACTGCTCGCAAGAACCCTAAGCGCCGGATTCGATTTCCGGATTGGGAGAATTTGGGGGAGATGCGGGAATTGATAGTGAAGGCCGCTCGGCCTATCCTGTCCAATTTATATATATATACATATACATATATGGTGCCTTCTACGGTACCCCGGGTGAAATCCGGGGTATCGCATACCTTGAGTATGAAAACGCTATCTAGACCTCGAATTAGCAGGATTTTTGGGTATAATACTATACTCTAACCCTTAATGAGTGAACCCTAAGTCCTAATTATCGAAATCATAAACTAAAAATCCTAAGATGGTGCATTACTTTTTTTTTTTTGCCTATATTTGGACGAATCATAACCGTTGATTATTGTTTCTAATTAAATTGATCTTGGGGTATAAGATTTATAGAATTAAGACCTTTATTTTGATCTTTATGGGTTAGAGTATAGTATAATGTCCGAAAGATCAGTCAATTCAAGTTCTAGATAGGGTTTTCTTACTTACCGTATGCGGTACCCCGGATTTCACCCGGGGTACCGTAGAACTCCCCATATATATATATATATTAATTAGTAATAATAATATAATTCACGGTTGCAACCCTTCGTACGTAACCGTTAACCCAACTGTTCCCGTATTTTGGGTCGAACCTGAACCCAAAGTCGGGGTGTTACATTTCCTCCACCCTTATAAAAATTTCGTCCCCGAAATTTGCTTGAATCTCATCCCTCTGTCAACACCATTCTTGTACTTCCTTGCCTAAAAAATTTACTCTCTCTATATGAACCTTGATGATGTCTGTTGCTTGTCCCGTATAGTTTACCTCACCTCAAGTTATTTCCTCTTGACCATAAAAGGTATTCTCAACAAGCTCATTAGCATCGAGTAGCTTTGGGTGGCTACTTGTCCCTTTTTAATTCCCCCATCTAGGGATGGAACAAAATTATCGATTCACTGTGTTGGTCCAGCTCCTTCAGCACTCGTTGTTGGCCCTTAAATCGGAGTCAAAGTATCACATTTCCTCCCCACTTATAGAAATTTCGCCCTCGAAATTGTTCCACTGTGATTACTCTAAGCATCGCTTGTGGTAATCCTTTTCACTTCGCGGATTTTTATTTCCTTTAACTTATACGACATGACCTAAAACCCTTCTCTCCATTCCCTGCAACTTCAATGTTGTTGTGGCTTCTTAACCCCTCACATTACCTCGGCTGCACCTTGTACATATATAGGAACGATAACTATCCATTCGGTACATGAGAAGTTAGTGCCCCTCTCCAACCACAAGGTCACTGATGGCGGTTTATCTTCCATCTAGTTAGATAGTAAAACCCTTTTAACGTAACTCTCGTCTAGGGATGACCTCATAGGTCACCTAGGTCCTTGTATCTCCTAACTTTGAATCCCTTACTTTCCTCCTTGATGCCTCGTCTTATCCTTTAACCATAAACTGAGTGGTCATCTCCTCGTTACTTCTTGCTTAACTCTGAAACCTCATACTACTACTTTTACTTCCTGTATGCATTAGAGGCATCCTTTGCATCTTTCTCTAGCTTGCGATCACCGTTATGATTCCTTTCAAGAGTCATGGCCTTCTCTCTGACTTACTTATTCACTCCTGGCGCCTAGCTTAGCACTTACTTATTGCCACTTGAATTTGCAGTTCTCGTACTATCTATTCTGCTACTCTTAGACCCTAGCTGAAATTCCTCGTACGGTTTCCCCGTCCAATAAGGTTTTACCCGAGAGATTGACACCTTTTACCAACATAGGCGATCTTGGTTTCACTTTGGGGTATTGACTCACTCCTACTGTCACTCTAGAAAATGGCCAAGTGTAACCACTTCCTAAAGCGTAGTATAGCGGGTTTGGGTTTTAATGTCAACCCGAGTCCTAGATGTGATGACTACTTAGTGAATTCTTATTATCTAGCGGTAAAACTTAAGTGCAGGTTCAAACAAGCAAAAACACAAAGCAAGTTAAACAGTTGTTTCAAGTCGAGTGAGGTCACGCGGATATGGTTCCCCCTAGACTGCAGTTAAGCCGGATTGCAATTTACCAAGTTCAATTTCTATGATAGTTATACTGCGGAAGGTTCTTAAACAGTCTGAAGTCTCGACTAAAGGTCTCCAGAACCTCTCAGTCTGAGTCTCTAGCGGGCGACTAACCTCCACCGGAGTAAATAGACTGAGGCCCTAACGAACAAAACCTTCACTACCGAAGTAAATTCAGTACAGAATAGTGAATTGGCTCCTCGACTAAAGTCGCCAATTCACTACCTTCAATTAAGGGTGCTCTATCAACCTAGGCAGATATTCTCTTTCTAGGTTAAAGCAGAAACAACAGGAATTTGATCAGGATTCATGCCATTCAATCATTCAAACCTCAATTGAATATAATAAAATCATAGAATCTGTACTTGGGTTCATACAATCAAACCTAACATACAAATCTAGGGTTCCCCATACCCAGATGAATGGGAGAACTACTCCATGGAGAAAGAAGTAAAAGTAGATTCAGATGCGGAAACCATACTGTAAAGGATGGTTTTCTGCTCCTGGGTGTCGATCGACACTTCTCCAAGCTCAAGCCGGCCTCCAATGGTGATGAAGATCAAGCTAGGGCACTTGGGAACTCTTGTTCGTTGCTTTCTCTCTTTGGGAATCGCTCTGTCTCTCTAAAACTCGGAACCCCCCTCACTTGTGGCTGGAAATTGGCTTAAAACCAAAAAATCCCGACTCACACGGCCATGTCACACGGCCGTGTGACTCCCCCAGCTGCCCGTGTGGCTTTGCAAAATGCGGCGTTTCGTTAAGTGACTTCAGGCTTCCCAAGCGGCCACGACTCAGACGACCGTGTGACTGTCCAGGCTGCCCGTGTGGCTTTTGCCGAGCCTTCACACGGCCACAGTGGGTCTCCCACACGGCCGTGTGGCTTTTGGGCATGCGCGTGTGGCTTCTCAGCTTCTCACCAAGCGTCCAAACTTCGTCCAATCGACCCCGAACTCTTTCCTAAACCTTCATTCACGTACTAGGACCTGAAATATCACAAACAAGAACAACCTAGCATGAAATCGGACAAAAACACGGGAAACGACATCTCAAACGGCTCAAGAATAGGGGTAAAAACATGTGTAATCAATGGTCTATCAAACTCCCCCACACTTAACCGTTTGCTTTTCCCCAAGCAAACCAAGTCAGACACAAGGTAAGCTCAAAACCTTTCAATCAAGCAGGTTTTAGGGCATATCATATCGGCACAAAACACGTGGATCATACTGGCTTTCGATCATTAACACATGGGAAGCTCCAACGACAACCTAGACAACCACCACAGATGACATTCGAATGCAGTAAAGTCGAGCAAAGGAAGAGTTCCCTTCTGTTCACCAACCAACATAGACTTGATCCAACAACTTATTCAAAACAGTCACTTCATGCATAAAGCTCAAGATATCAGAATTAAGACCGAGCAATCTAGGTCCTCACCGGGATAAAGAGTATAGAGAATATGAGAAAATGAATCGCTCACTCTCGACCAGTGGGGTCAGGACAATTTTATGCGAAAAATGCGCATGCTTATTCTCTCAATCCCTAACGTCTCTTCACCATGAAGGCAGCCTCTAAATGCTAGAGTTCACATATGAGGTGTCACCACTAACTAATCCGGAGGTGTTAGACACAGGTTCAGATGACTGGCTAGGGTCCTGGACATGGGGAAAAGGCCTTTTAGGTGGTGGAAGCATTCATAGCACAAGGCTCCACATTTCCAAACCCAACAAACTCACAATCAATCAAACCAGTAACTTTCTTTCTGCTATTCTACATTACTCAAATCTTTCAGAACACAAGAGCGAAGGAGGTCACATAAATGTTAGTATTTCTAAGCCAGACTGCTAAGAAACACTACTTAATGGGCACTATTTAGATTTTTTATGGTGGCTCTCTTTTGCTTTCATTTTTTGTCGTTGTTTTGCTTTCATTTTTTTCATTTCTTAAGAGAACCACCACCTCTGCACATTTTTTAAACACCTGCCCAACTTATTAAGAACTACCTCCAACTCTCACATTATATTTAGCAGAAACAACAGAGAACATGCAAAAAAAACCACTCTATGGAACCTTCTAAGAGATGCGAAAGGGTGATTTTTCATTGCAGACCGAAAGAAAGGGTAACACACGTCTCAAAGGGGCTGACTAGGGGGTATGACACACCAGGACAGTCAATTTGGTCGTGGGCTAATCCTATGCCTCCATCATCTTAGCTAATGACAACGTGAATGCTGCACATCATGGAAGAGGGAACTATCGCACAAGAAAGAAACGAGCAGGCTCAAATCTCACATGGCTACCTATATGCTCTATCTCTCGTTCCGATTCCCTGAACTAGATGCATAAATGACTGTCAAAAGCAAGTGATCAATCCAAGTCACCGTTGGTAAGCAAACAATTGAAAAACTGAACCCCTACACAGTTCTAGTGCACATCTCAGTCATCATAATAAGCTGTCTTAGTCACACTCAAGTTGTCATGCATCAAGTCAAAAGCCATTCAATTCACTAATCACATCCACAGTGCCAATACGATCAAACATCAAGCAAACAACAGTGCTTGTAGCCCTCAAATCTCGAGATTTGGACAGTGGACTAGGCTCCAAGCACACAAACAGATCTAATGCAGCCAAAAGATAAACATCCCCCCCCACACTTAAGATCGACATTGCCCTCAATGGAGAAGA